TAATAATAATAATAATACATTTTGAGCTAGAAGGGACCCCATGGATCATTGAGCCCAGCCCACATCAAAGAAGCACAGTGGAGAACTGAACTCCCCACCTCTGGCTCTGCAGTTTAACAACCTTAGAACTGCAGAGCTGGATCATCAGGTCCAGCCCCTGCCAAGGAGGCACAGTGGGGAATCACATTCCCGACCTTATTATTGTTATTATTTTGCTGCCCTGGAACACCTGCAACATGTATAATCATGCACATGTGATGGATGGGATTAATCCAATCCTTAATAAAGAGGGGAGGGGAGAAAAATTAAAACAAAGACATTTCAGTCCCATAGCTGAAAGTATCAAACACAGCTGAGGAATAAAATAAAATAACACCTCTCTTAAACAAGGATCATGTCCAAGTTTAACAGCCTGATCTTACCTGTAGTTTTGGTTTCTGTGCAGGTAAATATTTCATGCAGCCCAATCCCATGATGGTTTACTTAGCAGTAAAACAGTCTGAAGAGAAGGATGCCACATATATTTACATATAAAAAAGTTCCCTGGCATTTCATAATTAAAGGATCAGGTAACAATGGCCTCTTCATGAATCATTATTACCGCAGACAATACTGAGCTGGAAGGATAGGAACCTGACCCCCTGCCTTTCAGTCTAGTGCAGAGTCCATCAAAGATATCAAGTACATTCTACCCACGGATTAAGGACCAGTGAGCACAAGGTTACCTGAACATGCTTGGGATCTGGACTTAAAGACCCACAAAGCACAAATTTCCGAATAATCCCCATGGAAACCAGGAAGACAGCGAAGCACGCACAGCCCAGGGTCCTGGTGACAAAACGACATTTCAGCTCGCAAATACGATCAGCGGAGCCTCCTCCAAATAAAGCCCCCTCCATTTTTTAAAAAATAAAAACCAATGGTGCTTGTATTTCCTCCGGAGCCGGGGCTCTACTCTGCAACACCCTCGGGTCGTGCTCAAGCCCCCCCCCCCGATCCCTCTCGCCCCATAACTCGAGCAGCGGCCCGAATTCCGACAACCTGGGACAACGGGGCCGGGGCGTGCGACTTCAGCTTTTTGTGCGGAATGAAAGGCAAGCGTGAGGTGCCGTAACCGACCCGGGGCAGGGCGCGAGGAGGGAAGCCGGTCGCTCACACCGAGTCCTGTCACTTAGGGGAGTGCAACTTAACGGCGCCTAGTCGGGCAGGGCTCCCGCACGTGAGGAGCCAGAGAGCGTGTCTAAGCTACTGACTGACCATCACTGACACTTGGGTGGCTTTCTTTTTGAGCCGCCGCCACAACCGGTGTGTGTGGGGAGGCTGGGTGAGAAGGGGACGAGAGGCACTCGCCCTAAAGCTGTTCTTGACCGGCCGCCTCGCCCCGAAATTTCGGGCAAGAGAAAACTGCTTGGGTCCTGAGCGGTCTATGCCGGCGAGCTCTGTCCCCTTCATTCTCTTTGGCTCTCGAGAAGCTCTTCTCTGTCTGTCAGTGACAGCTGCCCCCCCCTCCCCGCTTCTCTCCTTTTAAGTGTGTGTGGGGACTCCTTTATGAGGTGACCAGAGCGGGGAGGGCGGGAGAAAGGGGAGGGCCTCTGCAGCAGGGGTCCGCTCGCGGTTGGGCCCTCGCTCGCCCGCCCGCCGCCTGTCACTGGGCGGCGTGTGTGGTGGATGTGTGAGTGTGTGCGCGCGCGTGTGTGTGTGTGTGAGAGAGAGTGTGTGTCAGTCGGCGGGCTGGCTCCGCCTCGCAGCCAGTCCTGCGCTGCGCTGCGCAGACAGACATGACACAGACCCTCCGTGCCTGCCTCTGCTGAGCACAAACGGCTGCCGCCGCCGCCGCTGCTCTCGTAGGGGAGCCTTGTGCGGGCACCGCTAGCCAGCCGGCCAAGCCGGGGAGGAAGCTTAGGATACGGCGGGGGCGCTGCCGCTGCTGCTTGGGTCGCCTTCCTCCCCTCAGCCCGCACGAGAACGAAAGCTCACGGAGGAACAGCCTCGCTTGGCGCCGCCCGGAGCCCGCCTTCCTTTCCTCCTTTTTATTTCCTTGCGGGGAGGGGGGGCAGCTTCGCTCTGGGGAGGGGGTGGGAGAGACGCCGGGCTGCTCGAGTGGTGGTGGCACAGGGAGAGCCGGCGGCAACGGCGGGGCGCTGCTGAGGAGGCGGGGAAGGAGCGGCAGCCCAGCCGGCG